GGACACACTGGATGGCAGGCCGTGACCGTGAAACCTGGACACCTGAGCCATGGGAGGGCTGCCAAGCGCCAAGCGCCCGCTAGGCCGCTAGACGTTAAGCCAGATGCTCGGAACATGCGTCGAGCCACTCAGGAGCCGTTTGCTTGGAAAGAAGGGGAGATGTCTTGGGGCCCCGGAAATTGCCAGAGACATGTAAGACTTATACATCTGGCCTACTCTACATGAATAGAAATAGCAAAAATGAACTTGCACGCAACTCATCCAAAAGAAGACCGACACTGCACGCGGGCATGTGTGAAACCATGCCGGTTCACAAGAAAGCCACAATAAAGCTATGGGGTGTATGGAGGGGCATCTACTTTGGGCTCAAACTGCCATCTTCATTTCTTCATATCTTGCTTTTTGTTCTTTCTGTCTTTCCTTCTTCCTTTTTCTTGCTTTCAGTCTTGCTTTCTTTCTTTTTCTTTCTTCCTTTCTTTTTATGCTTATCTTTTCTCCCTCTCTCTCTCTCGCTGTCTTCCAATGGTTCAAACAATACTTGGATGCATCCTATGCCACGAAGAGATCTGCAATCGTTTACTTTCATTCCCTTTGCAACAAGTGAAGAGGCAACACAACCCTCGAGTAAGGGACACCCCCGCAGGTGAAAGTAAATGGTACAATTGGGATACAGGTGATGACTAAACCAACATGGGTTGGAATTTGGCTTCTTGGATCAACTTTGGGTTTAAACTGCACGGTCTCAGGTTCAGTATTTGTTTTCATCCCCTGGCAGTTTGCACTCTTTCAGCCTGATTTTCTTGGTGGGACGCCCCCAAAGGCCCAAATGCTGGCAGATTCCCTTGAGACTCGGAATTCCGTGTCCATCCCTCCTCAGGGATCCTTACATTATGCACCTGAACATTGCCTTGTTTTCTCTTGGTTTCCCTTTATTTTGGTGTTGAGAAAAAGCAACATGTTTTTCAAATGGTGGCAAAATGAATTTCTTTTAAGGAGCTCTGTCCAAGTACAGGCCCCTATGACCACAGGGAAAGCAAGATCAAGCAAAAAATCATCCCTCGTGGTTTCCCTTTTGGACGACTCCGGCCCCAAACCCCGCCGACGAAACGAACCGACGAAGCGCGCGCCTCACGGAGAAGGCCTCGCAGGCCTGTTGGGCATACTGCCTGGGACCCGCAGATTCGGGGGCACCCGCCTTGGACCTGACGCAGCTTGGGGAGGTTAAGACATCGCTATATATACATATGTATATATTATATGTATATATATATATATATTATATAGACCCCTCTTTCAGGGTCTCCTGCCTATCGCACACCAGTACTTGGAGAATACTTGGAGATTCAAGGGCCAGCCCGCGCGAAAATTCCACGTGCAGTTGGGCATTCATGCTCTCACACTTCTTTAAACCAACGTTCCGGGGCAAACAAAACTTGCGCACTCGCATGTCTTGGAGCAAGTTGCAGCCTCTTCAGCCTCTTTGACCTTGGAGTCTCTCAGAAAGCGGATGTGTGTCGAATGCGATTGTGGGTGTTTCTGTTTGTGACTACACCGGAAACCAAGAGAAAACAGATGGGACAAGTTCAGCGCAAAGGCCCATTGTTTTGCAGCCTGTGACAAGGAGTCTCATCGCTCAGACCCCCTCCCCGGGGAACGAAATGGCTGTGAGTTTCAATAGGGGCCCCTTCAAAAGCGGTTGGTGGACAGAAATCCCCCAACTGGTGTCGCCCACATGTAGGTCCGATTCACAAAGGAAACCTTTAAAAACAAAAAACAACAGTCAGTACATAGAATCATATGCTTCCATTTGCTTAAGCCCCCTGGACAAAATGTGCAAATATGTGTCCAGTAATGATAAATTCCCTTTAAAACCACAGGGGTTTCATAAGAAATACGCTTGAGCAAATGGAAGGATGTGTCTCTCCACTTTATCATTTTACCCCAAGGCACCTCACTGTGTCACTCGCCGGCCAACTTCGGGGCCAACTTACGGGCGCCAGGCTCAAGCTTCTCGCAGAGCTTCGGAGTGCACAGCTCCTGCCATCCGTGGCTCGGTGTTTCTCTTGCGCGAAAGGCTCGCCCTTTGGGCTTGGTTTGAAGGGAAGCCACAAGGGAAACCACTAATTTAGTTGAGGGCTATGGTTGACGGTACCCTCAACACCTCGTGCGATACATAGACTAGTCTCACAAAGAGAAAACCCTGAGTTGCGGAGAACGTGCGTTTGGATGTGCGGTTTTGTTGAGTGCAAAGGCGAACCAAGCAAACTGCAATGTTGTGGCCCCCTCTTTTGACACATACACAATTGAAGGCATAGACTGACTTTCAAAAGGGAACGAAGATCCCTAATCCTAATCCGCAATCCGTTGAGGGACACCAACGGAAACCACTACCATTGGCCCATCCGACAGGATTGAGGATTGATCTGAAAAACCCAGGGACCCAGAGTTCCAAGATTGTCCTCTTGCATGGCGGTCCGCAGACCCCTAACAAACATCCTAACAAGAATCTGGGGCAAAATGGCTTGCCACACTCTAGGGCATGGAGGAGAGTCATTTGCAGAGTCGAAAACTATGGAGTTAATTGGAACGGTGCTCACGGGGTGCAGGAAGAGAGACTTTGTTACCCTGCCGCATCGACCCTTCCATCCTGCGAAAGGCGAACGTCGAAGAAGGCATGGACCAGGCAAATTGCAAGCCTCGGCTTTACTCCGGCTTGCTCCGCGCTTTCACCCCCCACACCAGGCGTCACAGTCATACCGGAATGGCCGTCTTCGTTCACTTGCTTCTCAATTTCTGGCAGGCGAAAGCAAGTGGGAGCAACTGCTCCACAGACCATGAGTCTTGTGAGCTAAACAGCAAATCACACGTTTGCTTAGTGGGCTTGGCTGTTCGACTGCCCTCCGGCGGTTCACAACACTTTGGAGCTCGCAGATCATTTCATGGCGCTGCTCGTGTTTCCAGGGATAGCTAACATGTGGCTGTGGCTCACAAAACCGGCACCAAAATGAAACCCTGGCAAGTGGAAACATGGACCAAAACCTGCGTAACCCCTCCTGTTTAATTTTGAGCCCATGTGATTGTGCACCAGGTGACCGCATGTGGCGTGGCACGGACGAGTATGGCGCTGCTCAGCCTGGAACCTAGCGAGAATGGGTCAAGACGGATCCAGTCTTGGGATGGCTATGACGGCTGAGCGAAAATCAAAAAAGCCAATAGACGAAATCCAAAATCAGGAAGTTCGACAAATCAGGAAACCCATCAAATGTGTGGTTTGATCCTGATATGTGTTTTGATGCTTTGACTGAGGCGATCGCAATCCGTAGATGACGGCGCTCCTCGCTCGCTCGCAGGTTGGCTCATGGTTTGCAGGGTTGGAACAAAACTGCAGGAATATGGGAGCTGGATGAGGATATGGGATCCCAAAAGCAGGATAGTGAATGGTATTCAACAAAAACATACCAACTCTCTTTAGGAGTGCTTGCCAAGGCTGAACAAGCTGGCCAGTGGGCACAAAGACAACACCTATTCCATTCTATGCCTCAGTTTGCTCCAGGCCCCAGAATAAACTGACTTGCATCCACCACATATCATTAGTGGGTCCCAGGCAGACTTCGGGTACAGTAACGGGTAGAGGTTGGGTATTCCGAAGCAAACCTGGATAGAGCGCTCCCTTTCAAAGCGGACAGTAGTCTTCCAAGACGAGCCTGTGCGCTCCCCGTTTGGTTTTCCGTGAGTACCCTTCACACTGTCAGCTTGGTGGACAAAAGGGCCCTGCTTTTCGACCTTCACCTTGAGAGGAACAAAAAACCACTACGCCCAGCAAGTCCCCTGTACAAAAAACAAGTCCGCTCGCAGTGATAGATTCCCTTTCAAACCAGCAGGCGAGATATAAATCATATTCTTAAAACCAAATGGAAGCAAACCCAACAAAGCCACGACTCCGCAGATCCAAACCAATCCACTGGGTCTTGGGTGGACTTCGAAAGGCCTACCCGGCTGCCCCCAGGCAAGAGCTCGTTCGACTGGGCCGCTGGCTGCTGCCACACATCGTCGGCCTGGGGCCAAGGATTCGGACAACGAAGGTCTGGTTTGCCGCATCAGCCGCGGCCTGGTCGTGGTTGACGCTTGTTGCTACTTTTTGTCCGTTCGGTATGTAGCGGTTTGGCTGAAGGTGGTTTGCTTTGTCTTAACCGTTTTAAGTGTGTTTGCTTTGATGTGGCTCGTCTTGGTGTCGTCAAGGCTTGTCGACTGACAAAGGGAGGCAATAAACTAACTTCGCAACTGCACAAGTCGGGATCGGTCGGACCATCATGGACCATCCATTGGGCGCGTGGGAAGTTCACTACCAAGCCCACAAACAGCGTGTCCCTCAAACAACATGCCAGTTGAACAATGGGCTCGTCTTGGCCTGGGTGACATGCCCGGTCCACAGCCTAACACAACTGGAATCAACAAATTTCAGACAGTGCATCTCACCAAGGATCCATGTCAATTGGGTGGCTGAAGCTGACCCCTCGTGTTGAACACTTGCACATACATGGAGATCGGCAGAGCATGTCGCGGTTCGGAGCCGTTCCGACCATTCTGATATAATGCTTGTCAAAAGAACGGTATTTCTGCAGACTGCCATCAGCACACTCCCAACAGCACCCCTCTCAAGAAAGTGTGGACTGCCCCGAATGAGCTTCAAAACGGCTCTACAGCATTTGGGTCTGCATCAAAACTGGCCAAAGGAAACCCACGTAGATCTGGAAACATTCATCTTCTGTGCCCCTCAATTCAAAAGCAGCCGCATGTTCAGTCCACCAGATCTTTGCAGCCCGCCCCTTTGCGCTTTTCTCCAAGCAATCAGGCTGTTCCACGCCGTCGATGGCTGAGAGCGGGCACTCAGCAGGGAAAATGTCGTCTCAGCAGCTCGAATGATGTCTTCCAGTATTTTACGCAGACCTTCAAGCCCCCTAACTCTTCAGCTGCAAAGATCAACTCGCAAATGAACAACTGAGTCTCGTGTTCAAGCTTTGCTGAGCTCACGATGAAGCTCTCAGAGCCCTTAAAGTCACTACAGCTTCCACTCACTCCTCTCAATGCGAGCGGATCAAAACGCCTACAGGCTGTGACAATCTGTTCCGCCTCGGTCAGAGCGGAAAAAGCCCACCCACCATTTTTCTCGAGCGTAGGCAACGTGCGACAGCGAAAAGGTCAAAGCTGCCGCCGGTTAGGAAGTCCTTCCAAAACGATCCGCAATGATCCGAATGAATAAATAGCAACAAATGTTCCATGACAATAACACATTCAGACTTCAAACTAAACAAAACAAGACACGGTCCTGAAAAGGAACCAACATGTACTGCCACACCGCCAGAAGCACACGCGCTATCATCAACATTTAATCAAGATAAACAAGAGCCTCCGGCGTAGTATACACAGGAATAATGACACAAGGAGCTACCGTGGCATTTATGATAACGACATGTGATGGTAGAGCAACACTAACTAAGATCAATGACTCACAAACCGCCACCAACAACAAGAACAAACGATAATCAAACATACTAGGTTTCGCATGTAGTGATGCGGACCAACGAGGAGTGACACCTGAGTCACACTGTGTACCGCAAGACAGGCCAAGATCAGCCATGTCCAAAAGACCTGGTTCCTGCAAAGGACATGAGTCCCCCAACGTAGTGTTTGCGGGAAGTTCAGTGAATCCCCCATGAAACTCCCAACCGGACCGTGAACTACTGGATATTTTATATGAACTTTACATTGTATCAAGTCACACTTAGAGTGGTATCACATTGACATCCATCCCAACATCTTGCAGCTGCCATGTGTCGTGTCGTGTGCGAACCTAGTTGGGAGGCGAAGAATACATCAGAACATATCAGAATCAAAGGCCAGAAACGCGCTGGCTGGAATGACCGCCATAGTAACTCACAGGACACTGGCAAGAGCCCCAACCTACAACTCGGTTAATCCGTTGGGCCGCAGCCGAATATGGCATCTTCCCTCAAAAGATGGTCAACCTTGCGCCATTGCACCCAGTCGTCCACTTGGTGCCAGGTTGCGGATGAGTTCACTCCAGGTTCATCATGTCAAACCTCAAACCGCGTGGCAGCTGAAGCTTCTACCAATGGTGCTTCAAGAAATCTGTCGTTTAGGGGTCCGCCACCTCTGTGCTGTGATACTGATATTACTGGATATCTGGACGCGTCAGCTGGTCCACAAATACTAGCACATATCTAAAAAGAAGCGAATCTCTATTGGACAAACACGAGTCACCACAATTGGGGAAGACCGCTGCAGGTGGTTGATTCGGATGATCCGATTTACATCATCCACTGTTTGTACCTCAACGGACCTGCAAGTAGATTGTCTGGAACACACTTCCCAGCTAAACGAGACTGACACACCCAATCTCGGGTACTTCCTAAATAAGGAAATTGCTGGCCAACGAGTCTGAGTGAAGTCAGCATGCACCCGCTCTTGAATCTACCCTGGAATTGGTGATGAGCCCAGCCTTCAAACAGAAGCAGAAATCAATGTTCGAAAAAAGCATGTGAATGCCTGAAACCCGAACATGTCACGTGTGTATCTCAACTAAAAACCCTACACATGCCAAACTTGCAGCTGGATCCCCCAAAACCAGAGGAAGGAAAGGAGTCCCCATTCTGAAGAAAAGGCGCCTTTCCCCTAGCCCGCTGATTGGAAAGTAGAACAGCCCGTCAGCCGCCCGCAACGCGCGCGTTTTCTCGAACGCGGTGAGAAAAGAACCGATTTCTCCGAGGCTTCGACCACATGGTCTTGAAGCGAGGCATCAGCACCGCGAGGATGGCCCCAGAGCCGCCCAGGTGGATCATCTTGGGGCCCACGCCCGCATACAACCCGCCTGGGATGGGCCAAGCCAGTGGATGGTTTTCTTTTTTTGTGCTCAGCACCCCGGTCACCTTGGTTTAAAGTGGGGAAGCCAAAGGAAACACACTATTTTTGTGGTTTCCGCGTATGTTGACACGTACCCGCGTTGGGCTTGTCTCATAGAAAAGCCCGGAGAAAAGCAAGTCTCAAAAAAAATACTACCCCTTAGACCAGCCCAAAAAAACGGATACCCCCAAACAAAGACAACCATATGGGGGGCCTGCGCTGTTCCCTGTGCAGGATTTGGGGGCAAGGTCCTCTCAAGCGGTCGAGGTTTGCAATTCAACAAACTCACTTCCCAAGAACCACCTTGGTCAAAACGTGGGTAGAACAGGTCCAGTTGTGAAAAATTGGTTGAGAAACGCCTCAATCTGGGCCTCGAGAAAGCCAGCAAGGATTGGAAGGAATCCATCCGGCAAATGAACCAAACCAAACGAACCACCAAACAGAACATCTTGGACGCCTAAACGATGCTGAAAGGACTCCCCCCTTGTAAACTAGGGTTTCGCAGGGCTCCATTTTTGGACTACCCCATCGTAGACTTAAACCCAGGGTTGTTGTTTTTTTCTTTCGAAAGGGGAACCCCTGGGTTTAACTCTGCCGGGTAGTCCAAAAATGGAAAACCCTGGCGCTTCGGGCGTCGACATCTCCGGACTCACATCGAAAGATCGCGTGCCGGGGCGCTGATGCCCTTGGTGGAGGCCAGGTTGGCCGCCTCGCGCGATCTCGATCGAGCGCGAGGCAATCGGGCTCACAGGAGAGCCTTCTGTCCACAGCCTGTCTGCTTCCGTGATTAAGAGGACAAACCGCGACAGGGTGCCCTTCTGTCATCTTCTGTCCATTCTTGAAAAGAGGATAAAGCGCGACTGCCAAAGTTTTGGTGAGTGGAGGCCGGTTGCAAAAACTCGCTGGCCCAAAAGACCTGGAAGTACAAGTTGCAGATCTCGGAAGTTCCAAGATACGGTCGCTTCGGACCAGTAAAACAGAGCACAAGCCCGCGAATAGCGCTTTGAGCTGCATTATATGGCTGTGGGTCAAACCCTGTACCCCTCATAAACATCAAAAATAGGTGGCACATGGGTGTTCATCCGCCCCAAAATGGAGACATGCATAGGCTCTGACCCATGGCCATATGAGGACCCGCCTTGTCCTTGTCTCCCCCTTCCCTGCGCCGCCGAAACCTGCAGCCTGCAGCCCGCGCCCGCGCCTCAGCGAAGAAGGGGCCCGGATTGTACGCCGCGAGGGCGCTGGGCCGCGGGATGGAGGGGTCGAAGGTGTCGGCCAGGGCCTGGCCCGGGCGGAAATTCTGTGTGCCTCACACCGAGCCTTGTGGTTCGTCGGCACTTCTTATGGCCGCCCACATGGGACGCGTGGGAAAACCCGGTACAAAAATGGTGAGCCCAGAACCATGCAAAGGATTAAGAAGGCGGCCGCACCTATTTATGGTTGGGATCGTCCCTTACTAACCTTCATCTACCCGGGTTTTGATTGTCACTCACATGGGGTGCACATGGGACTTTGGTAAGTAACCTCCCATGTACCACACATAGGACTCTGGTAAGTAGCCTGTACTGGTGGTAACTTGATAGAAGTGGCCAATGTCGCGAGCTTTACTATAGCTGATACTGTTGAATACAGACTGTTGATATTGCATTGAGCCCACCCACACCAATGGGAGACAAATGAACAATGTAACAATCGCAAGTGTAAAGGTGGCATCTGAGTCTTGCACAGGATTTCAAGGTGGCTGCAAAAAAACATAGAACAACGCAAACAAACTCTTCAGAGGGAGGCCTTTTGTCCAGAGAGGCACCTTAGGTTTGAGGTACTCCGAAATCTGCTCCGAATTATGTTAACATTCTATTCAAATGATGCAAGATATGCACGCCTGATCTGTCTGCTTCACCATTGTCAACAAACACAGGACATCAAACATCAGACAGGGGTGCAACGGGACTCCAGCGCGTCAACCTTGCAAAATCAGGCCTTCTTCTGCACGATGGATCGGCACACCTCAGAATAGCCAAGGTGAAGATACGCCTTTGGCAAGGACTTGTACCGCCTTGGTCTTTTGGCAGTCTTTCAGGTGGCTTAGGATTTTGCCATCACAAACCAAAGCCCCAACATTGGCGACCAGTCACTTATCCCCGGGCAGCGCCAAGTCAGTTGGGTGATGTGAGTTTGTCAGTGGGGTCAAGGACTACTAGCACCACCTTCGACCCAACCCTGGTTGGTACCTGGAGGAACCATTGCCGTTCTACCTCGCGGCCAGGAATGAGTCACGCAGCATGATGCATATTGGTCAAGAAGCCACGACTTCCCCATAGTGCATTTCATTCCGCAAACTCGGCGATTCAAACATCTGGAGCCAGGCACTTCTAAGGATCCATGGGGTAGCTTAACCCCCGGCGAACCAAAATCCTCCAAGAACAAACGGGAGGAATCCAAATGTAGTGGGTGCGTGTGTGTGCGCGCTTTTTGACAGCTTGGACCGTTTGCCGTAAAACTCACAGGGTCTGGTTTCTTCTGGTTGAGGTCATAGGGGAGTTCTCCACATAGTAGTCGCCTAAAGTCGTTGCTTTTGTTGGGGTGTCCCTTTGAATTCCTAGTACCAAAAGGGGGTCGATTCATCATTTTGAGAACCTCGGGAGTAAAGCCATAGACTATGCCCATGTCATAGGTGTGGATGTGTGTCAAACCAGGCCCAAAAGCTGGGTGGCGTCCCTTTTGGCTTGCCTTTAAACCAACCCCAAAAGGGTACCAACTTAAAGCTTTGTTTTGAGGGTACCCATTTTTTAGTAGGTTTGGTTGGTTGGTGAGCGGCTTGCCGTGTTCTGCAGCCACAGGCGACCTTCCCTAAACCAACCACTTAGCCCCAAACAAAACAGGCCACGTCCAAGACGAGCCATGTGATCTTTCCAAGTCGCGTCCGTCCAGCAGTTCATGGCAGTCCCCGTGGCGCCCGCTGCAAAGCCCGAGAGCACATCCTGGCGATTGAAAATCCGCACGAGTCGGGGTTGATTTGATGTGTTCCTGTGCTCACTGGTCAACCCCTTCGAGATTCCATCTTTCCAATGAGGAAGGACTGGGGGCTGTTCAAAAGGAAAGTAGTCTTCCGAGCTCCTCCTGTCAGCTTCCATGATGAGGGAGGGTAAAATGGGTTTGTCTCAGAAACCAAAAGCGCCAGGGGGAGGCTATTAGTGGCTTATCAACCACAATTCAATTTAGTCCGTCCAAACGAGCAAAATGGATTTTGTCCATCCACTTGAAACCTGTTGGAACTCCTTGATCTTCCCTTTACGAAGGCAAGGGCTTCTCTCCTTCTTCCCCTTTGCCTTTTGGTTTCAACTGGTCTCAACAAACATGGGCTCGCCCCCTAAAATATGAATGGGTCCCCCAAAATGGTGGGGTTCCTTTTTGGAAGCCCAAACCAAACCAACCAAAGGCACACGCACACTGACGTCAACCCTTTTAGGTCTTGGAAGGCCCTGATCGGATCCATCCGAATCCGATGGCACCCGAGGGCACCCGAGGGCACCTGCGCCAACTTGTTGGATACCACGGTGCTCACCTAAGTGCTCGGTGAATGTCCAGAAGCATCGCATCATGGTGGGTGAGTTCTTAGATGTTACTATACATATATATATATATATATACATTATATATATATATATATATGTACTCGTATATATTCATGTGTTTATTTGTTTCTTGGAATAGGGGCATAAAACGAATTCCAGGAGCCTGGTGCACTTTGGGGGGGGGGATTGGCATTGGTGCAAGCGAGGCTTTGGGTTGACGGCAAATGCAAAAATCCCATCTCGTCAGCTGCCTCGTGTGAGATGTCAATCCCTGAAGGCGATCCCCGACCCCTTGAGGATGGTGACAGGTATGTGAGAGGGATACATATTCAAATGATACAATTTATCTCCCATGATCTCAAGGAACGTGCAGGGAGCCTCTCCAGTTTTGGACCCTTCATAGTGATTCATGCATATGAAGGAACCAACCAGCCCTCAAAGGTACCCCTGAGCCGGCTCCCTGCCCTCCTGCCCCTGTCAGCCTTGCTCGTTTTTAAGGGCGACGTGTCCACAAGACAACGCGAGGCGGTGTGTCCATCCTCACGCTGAGTGGTATTTCTGCCCAAGTTCCCAAGTTGACCTTGAATAGCCTCCCTTGTTTTTGTACCATATAAGCACGAGATGTAGAAATCCACTTTGTAAGCAAGTATCCCGATTTCATTTCTTGCGAGTGGAAACCCTTACCCAGGTCTGATGAGTATAGGTTTGTCTTAACATAGGCCAACCCCACTCAAAAACAATGTGGCTTTCCTGTTGTCTTCCCTTTAAAACCGACCAAAAGGAAGGCTCCCCTAAAAAAAGAAGGACACACGCACACGCCCTAAAAAACAGGTGAGTGAAAAATATCCAAGGCCGGCACCGCGCCCTTGTAGACGTCCAAGGTCAGGAAGAAGCCGCCGGTCCACAGGAACTGCCGCACCTACCGATGAAACAAGTCGAGCGGCCACAGCAAGCAGGTGGGTTTCTCGTCTTGTTTTGGAAGGCACCCTTTCTGGACGATTTTCAGGGGACTCCAAAAAGAAACAGAAGCGCATTTGGTGGCTCGTCTTTTTTTGAAGGCACCTTTTCTGGAGGGCAAGGCTTCCAGCATCAAGTTACCTCCAAATCAGCAATGAAGCAAGTCTTTCTGGATGGTAAGGGGAAATCAGAAGGAAACCAAAGCCCATTTGGTGGGGTTCCGATAAACCAAGGACCATCCCGAAAGTGCAAGACTCAACTACCATCACGTCCTGTGACAAAGGCTGCTCCGAATTCCGTGCACTCCAAGCACAGGCTTCAACACCGGGAGCTTGTTGGAAGCATGACCTGTTTGGGTTGACCCTTTTCTGTGGTAGTTGGCACATCTCCACAGTACCCCATGATACCCCATGCCTGCATGCCGGCGTAGCCAATCATCAGTCCTCCAAATCCACGAGTCTTCATGATGTGCTTGGCAATGTCGGCCTGTCTTCAGAACAAAGGCGTTTTCTGACTGGAAATATTCTAGCTACTGAATTCCCATGTCGAAATCTGTTTCCCTCCGAGTGCCGTTTATGCCAAACCATACACTGGATGTATAAGGGGAATCTCAGACGCAGAGACCCCCCCAAACTGGTTGGCGTTCCTTTGACGACACTCCGACATGCAGGCGCTGCCAGGCGTGCAAACGCATGCACGTTTACATCAATACTTATACACATGTACACGTATCAAGCAGGAACAAATTGACCTCAAGTTGAATTGTGGAATCCGTCAAAGTAAAGGCGTGTTGAGTCTGGCAGAGGCAAGTGTTGCCTGTATGCCATGGTCGAAGCTCATCGAGGGAGTCACGGTCATGGCCCCCGCAAAATCAATTCCTAAACATGGCTGCCAAACAATGCTAAAGGGTTGCTGGCTACCTTTATCAAGCTCGTTTAAACGAGTCTTCTCTGGTCTGGCACACAACCATGGTCCGACCATGTGTCAAAAGCTTTGGCTTCCCCTTCCCTTGCATTTGGGCAGAACACTTGCACATCCAAAAGGCCCTGGTGCGCAGGTTCCAAAAGTAAGATGATGGAACAAGAACCCACAGCTACAAGAGCTTGGGAAGGGAATGCACACAAACCTCAAATTCCAGGGCGAATTGTACGGTAGATGCAACAGATAGGCTAAGATAAACATGAAGATGTATAGTTTGCACAAGGAAAGCAGGCAAAGTGCAGCCAAGAACTGCAACACCAGCTGCTATTGCTTCAACCGCGACACTCAGCGCATTTTGCATTGCTGTGCAAACATCGCTTGCCAAAACATCATGGCTGACAGCTCCACACGAAAAATCGAACAAAAACTGGGCAAGTCATAACAACAGGGCCGCTGTTGGAAGTACAGCAAGGCGAGGGCATACCCATTTGGAGTCCCTGGCTTGAACAAAGGGCTCCCAACTGACGCAGGAATGTACAAGGTATTGGGAATCCCCATGGCCTAACTGTAAGCTGGTGAGTGGCACTCATGTCATCCCCTTTACAAAGCTTGTATTCAAACCTCTATCTCACTCAATCTGTCTAGAATTATATCTATGTTTTTCACAATCAAACATAGATAACACGACCATGTGCACAAATGAATAGAACTGCAGCGTTGACAGCGGATATCGCACCTTTTCTATCTACAATTCAGTTGACATCAGACCGGCCCAGCCGCCAACCCCCCAGCGCCGATCTGAGCTCGGGGCCGATCCGTTGAACCTGCCCTCCTTGTCCAGCTGCGCCGCCAGCTTGATGTTCCTTGGCCACTGGGCTGGGGGGGTCTGTGGGGATGATTTCATGTTGGCCCATAACAGGTCCAAAGGTGGGGGGTTACTTTCTCACCCAGACGACTTATGTCGAATGACTGCATTGGTGTGCAACACCGTGCTAATAAAATGAACATCCCCGAAATGGATCGTCGCAGATTTTGGTAGAGGGGAGACAAGTGGAGGGATGTATAGATGCAAAGCCAACATGATCTCTTTTAGTAACCCAGTGGATAGGGGAGGAAGGCACCGCCCGGATCGATCATTTTGAGTGAGGGACCAATTGGGGACCAAAGGAACAAAGGACTTCATTGAATACTGTTGATTGCCACTACTATTGTCTCTTATCTCTCTCTCTCTCTCTCTCTAGGCGCAGGTTCAACCGCGTGCGAACCAAAGCTTCGCTTGTGGTTGCGTTTGAACACTCAGCCGCGTCCACCTCGCCACCGGAGCCGCTTGTCTAGAGAAGTACTCTCATTGATCCAGACAACTGTGGTCCCCACCAACCATTCCGGAGGGATCCAAAGTTCCACAGGAACGCCGAGCTGCTCCAAGGGAGAGATGGCCAACACCTGACCAGTCAAAAAAGCCACAAGTTGTCTTTGACTCCTCCCCCGTTTGTCAGGGATACAAGTAGGCCCCTCTTTATTGTTTTAGTCTAGCAGGTCGTGGCTGCAAACCGGTATCAAAAGGCTGTCACCCTGGCGGCTGGGTGTGCACACACTTGACAACCGAGGTCCCTTGTGCAGAAAGCGGAGACTCTGTTCGACTGGTCCTACGGTCAAAGGGCAAAGCAAGGGGCTCGCCGACTGGGCTTCTCAAATCGTTGAAGATGTTCCTTTTATGCTCAAGAGGCGCCATAGCCGTGCAAATCTGTGCTCTTCGATGCCAAGAGTAGTGAACTCGGTTTGGATCTACACCGTCGGGACGAACCAAAGGTGTGCATGTTTTCTGGGCTGCGGAGTGACATGTTCAAAATGACCCTCTACATTTTAGTGGTCGAAAAGGGAACGTCCCAAGCAGGTTCGTCTCTCTCTCTCTCATTCTCTCTCTCTCTCTCTCTCTTTTCCTCTCTCGCTCTCTCTCCCCCTCTCTCTCTCTCTCTCTCTCATTCTCTCTCTCTCTCTCTCTCTGTGTGTCAGTCTCTCTCTCAGTCTCTCTCTCAGTCTCTCTCTATCTCGCTCCTTTTTCTCTCTGTCTCTCTCTCTCTCTCTCTATTCCCCGACTGGTCCACCAATCTCATCTATTAATCCCATCCATCAATCTTTGCCTGTCTATCTACCAAATCTATCCATCTATCTGTCTGTCTATCTATCTATCTCTCCCCCTCTCTCGTCTCTCGGTCTATCAATGGGTGTGGTCAGGCACCATACCTACCTACCTACCAACCTTCATATCCATCTATCTACTCGACGTGTCTAATCTATCTATATATCTATGGCCTATGTGTATCTTTATCTATCTTCCTGTCTTCCTTTCATCTATCTAGGCATCGTTCTATCTCGCTCCCTGTCTCTCTCTCTCTCTCTCTCTCTATGTACCTGTGCATATATCTGTCTGTCTGTCTATCTAGCTACCTATCTCTCCTATCTACCTGTGTCGATCTATCTTTTCATCTATGAACGCTCCCACGCTCCCAAGCGCTGAGCGAAATTCAACGCGCGACACTACAAAGCATTACGGCGGCCACGGAATCAACGCTATGTGCTCCAAAATGCTCCAAAGCGGCAAATCAGGCTCCGATAAGAAGGGCTCAAAAGTGCTGCGCCCGCCACGGAATTTCATTCTCAGCGCTCCAAAGTGCTGCGCGTGTCACGCAAAATGAGCTCAAGAAAATGAGCTCAAATGAAGCAAAGATGAAGCAAAGTGCTCAAAGTACTGCGCCTGTCACGAAATTCAACTTTGCCACGAAGCGACGCACGGGACTGCGGCGCCACAATAATTTCGACAGATATTGACAAACGACATGGCAACACCGCGTGCGCAAACATATTTTACCCATCCACCCCACTGCACAACACCCCACCCACCTCACCCAGCCCAACACCCACCCACCCACCCACCCACCCACCCACCCACCCACCCACCCACCCACCCACCCACCCACCCACCCACCCACCCACCAGCCACCCAGCCACCCAGCCACCCAGCCACCCAGCCACCCAGCCACCCAGCCACCCAGCCACCCAGCCACCCAGCCACCCAGCCACCCAGCCACCCAGCCACCCAGCCACCCAGCCACCCAGCCACCCAGCCACCCAGCCACCCAGCCACCCAGCCACCCAGCCACCCAGCCACCCAGCCACCCCCACCCAGCCACCCACCCACCCACCCACCCACCCACCCACCCACCCACCCACCCCCACCCACCCACCCACCCACCCACCCACCCACCCACCCACCCACCCACCCACCCACCCACCCACCCACCCACCCACCCACCCACCCACCGTACACCAGTTGGTGGTTTGATTTTTTTGCTGACCACTCCCAAAGGGTTCCGGCTCAGCGCCTCGGGCACGGTTCCCAGCGCACCAGCCAAGCCCTTGCTGATGGGCGTGCCCTGGGTCTCCGGCTTGCCGTAAAGGTTCCGGTGCACCTCAGCCCATTGCTGGTGCTCGGGAATGAGGGAAAGAACCTGACGATTCCCGAAGAAAGGAAACCGGAGGATGGTTTATGGGGGTCATTCCATTTCTCATTCCCTGCCGAAGCCTCAGCGAGAAGCGAGAAAGGCGCAACGGGGGGTTGGCACCTTGCTTCGGAACCATGCCGTGTTTCCAAGTATGGGAGATGGTGCGATGAACATCTTCAACACTGGGTATTGCACAAGGGGCATCGGGTGCGGATCAAGTTTGCCGGTCTGCTTTCGCTCTTGGTGCGAGGACGCATATCCGAATTGGACTCAATTTGTAATGTTGATTCATTCTTGTTTCAATGTTTGATTGCTCTAAACATGTCAAGAGTCCTTTTCCGGGCTGGAATTGATTAAAATCAATTGAACTAGCTTACAAATAATGTGTTTCTCCTGGCCTCCAAAATAAATTGAATTAACTTACAAATAATGTGTTTCTCCTGGCCTCCAAATAAATCAACTAAGTTGCGCAATCAAATGTTGATTCTTTTTGCTGGCTTCCAATCATGAAAATAATCAAAGCAAGCGTGTAAGAAAGCTGCCTGACATATAGCTGCAATCCGATTGCCTTCAGTCACGTAAAGTAAGAGCTCTCATTGAGGGTAAGATTAGTTGGACTGAGTTGAGGATGTAGGGCTCTTCTGTTGTGACAGGCTGGTAGCCGCAAACATGCATGCACAAGCCACATGCGACCGACAAACTGCCAGCACAAACTTGCTATCATGATGGGAGACCCGGGCACAGATTTGAGCGGATGAGGTTTGGGCAAGGACACCTCTGGGCGAGTGCCACCAAGGCTAAACTGTGGAAAAGAAGCTGCTGGAGTGCGGCGGCACAATCAAGCGAGGAAAACTCAAAGTAGCTTAGATCTGATGACGCACAAGCTAGAGGTGGCCGGCAAATGTCTGGGCAGCGGAGGCTTGATTCTGTGTCATGCTGTCCAGGTGAACCAGAATGGTCAGTCTGCCTGAAAAATATGATCAAGGAAGTTGCCTCATAGAAGAAACCGGTATCCGGTAAGGTTGCCTCCTTCTTACTGCTTTGCGTGCTGTATACACTGCACCTCCGCAGCACGTGTGTTGCCCTCCGGTCTGCCCACCCAATGCTTTGCATCTGCGCGAGTCTCGATAATTCACAAACCAAATATAAGAGAACCTGAAAAAATGGAACCTTCATGGGTGACGTCGCAACCCCCTCCCACCGGAACATGACGTCGATATCATTTGCCCGGCTTGTATCCAATCTTGCCCCTGCCCCGATTGCCATCTTCCTCTGGGTGAGCCTACGCTGACGACCAATGGGCAGGAGGGCCCGCCCTGCCGCGGTCTTCTAAGGCCAGCACAATAGGCTGCATAAAGAACCTGAGGGACGAACCGGGAGCGACCAAAACAAGCTTCAACCATGCATCGCATAGACACGCACACACACACACACAAAAAAAAATAGAAGCTCACACACACACACACACACACCACACACACACACACACACACACACACGCCACTCACGCACATTTGGGTCAACACCAACACGTACGGCTGAGATTGTGCACACAGAAACAGTACGTAAACGCCAGTGCACTGTACAAACAATGCGCATACACACAGTACACACATTATGTGTCTGTTGCCGCTACATGTGAGCCACTGACAACATTTGCTGATACTCTACCAGACATGGAGAAACTTAGTGAGTCGCGTGAGAAAAAAACAATGTAAGTCCCCCATGTCCCTTCCAAATGGACCATAGACAACTGGACATGCTCCACCGAACCTCATGTTTTCGCTGGAGTTGCCTGAATTTGTCGGTGAGTTGGCAGGTGCCTGTCGAAAGCTGAAGCTGTTTCTGCCAAACAGCGGCTGAGCGATCCTCCTGTATTGTGTTGTTGCAACAGACCAGCTACCAATAGCAGCTCAGAGGCCTTGAACATTTCCAGTACTTTCCACCAAAACATCGAACGCATCACTGACAATGAACTTGGCAGGTCAGCCATGCTGAAGAATTGGAAGGGCTGACATGAGCGCGAGCACGGTACCTGCAACAAAACCCACGTAAGCACACAACCAACTTGACTGCACAGCTTCTTGCAGGGCCGTGTAATTTTCTCTGGCCTGAATGACATGCTGCCCAACAAAACACGTATATCACTTCCAAATCCTTACTGCCTGCTTCCCCAAAACCAGCGCCCCCCCCCCAAAAAAAAAAAGAAAAAAAGAAAAGAAGAAGCCCATCTCTGGACTTGAACTTCCGGGACCAGCCACATGCCCTATCTGCTCCCTTGTCAACCCCCCCCCCTCCGGCACAGAAAACAAACCCGATCTCCCATCGCATACCAAGCAGTCCGGGTCCTTTAATAGACTCGATGAAAAACCGAGAAATCCCTGGATCCAACGAAATGAGGTCCCACGAAAAATATGTCATTCAACAAAACAAAAAGCACACACACACACAAGTCCACCTATCTGGTCCCACAGACGCCTCCACAAACTCGCACCTCCGAATCTGACATAGGCGCTTGATGGCTCGGGAGATGGAGGCCCTCGTCACCTCGGCCACCAGACCCTGCTTCACGAAGCCCATCATCCCGTGCGCCTCGCTTCTCCGAAAGCGAGCGCGCGAGCGCGGCAAACGAAACGGGCGAAGGGCGGTCTTTCTGCGGGCCTTTTGCGCGGTCGCGCGGCGCCAGGGATACCTTTTTGGGGGAAGCGGATCAGCGGGAAGTTGGAAGACACTCCTCTTGAAGCCTGTCCACTTCGGATGGATTTTGTTGGATGGGGTCAAAAACACCAAGACTGAGCCCTGTTGGAAGTGCGGCCGACCTTCACTGTAAACCTCAAACCAAGGCGTCTGTATACCTCGCCATACTTGGGATGGAGCGCTTGGATTGACGAGGCTGGGAAACGCTGGAAGGGTTAGAAGGGTCGCAGGAATCTTTCGAGACGCCTTGGAACTGTGCGAGGCAACGACCAGAAAAGCTCTCGGAAAGGAGCCTTTGCTCTCGCCAGCGAGGTGAATTGAACCATGCAACTTGGATTGCAACATTGAAGGCAAGCATGGAGAACCCTCTCCTTCTTGGAGTAATCCTTCTAGATCAATTAGCGGTTGCATTTGAGTGGGTGATTGATCCATGATCGGGTACGGTCTGGATCTCTTCACTGGAGAAAGTAGTCCCGGCCCCTCACCGCCACACTCATCTCTAAGTGAGTGGGTCCAATCCCAGTAGGCAAGAGGTTCCCGTAGTTCTGAAACGTTGCCCTTTCACACTGCGATACATGCATGTAGAGCCAAGAACTTGGTGGAACCTGGAGAGCTTGTAGAGGAGCATCTTCCCTTTAAAAATCATCATGCAAGACCCCTTTTCTTGGGGCAAGAAAGATTGAGTCCAGGCTGCCGGGGCTTCCTTTGAATTTTCAGATGAGCCATGTCTCTGCTAATGACGTGGGAATTTAAGTGAGCATCAATGTCCGAGCATACCCCATATCATTCCCTGACTGCAATAGACGATGGTGACTCTTGGTTGCTCATACAGGCTGTCTCCAAATGCCACCCCAAAGGATACGCATAAACGAAGACACCCCCCCCCTGTGGGGTTGTGTTTCTTTGAGGGTATCCTCTGCAGGCTAGGTCACAGGAAAACCGAAAGTACAACAACCATGTGTAGAGTTCAATTCCATCCGATTCCCAAATTTTGATCTGGGTTTGTCTTGAAATAGAGGAACCGAATCCAACAATTTGAATTGTTACCTTGTCTTGCTGGTGCTCAGGGAATGAGAATTGGAATGACCCCTAACCATCCATCCTCTGGATTCCTTTATTCGGGAATCCTCAAAACGGTTCATTCCCAACACCCGGACTCGATCATTCCCTGCCCCTCGCACTCGATCAAGTTCTGGCTTCCCTTTCCCGAGGGTTCAACCCCCAAGAGAAAGGTTCACCCAATTTGGAGGACCATCTTTAGGAAAACCCATGGTGGTCATTAAACCCATCAACCATTGGTTTTTTTTGGGTGGTTTGAGGTGACTTGGTGGGAAGAATGAACCATGCTTAGGAAAACCGTGGCGGTTATATGAACCATCGATAGAAAAAACCATGGTGGTTTGTATGAACTCAACCACGGGCTTGATGGTGAGGTGGTCATTAAAACCCATGAAGGATAAATGAACCCAACCATCGTTTCAATGGTGGTTCTAATGGTGAGTGAACGAACCCCAGTGAGTGTCCCCAAAACTTCGCGCAGCGCTTCCCAGACGCCTCCACGAAGCCCTTCAAGGCCTCGCCCGCGCCGGTGCCCGGGTTGGACATGCCTTGGGCCGGTGCTCACGGTTGGTCTGTATGAAACCCACGAAACGGAGGGGAGGACGTCCTTCTACCCTCCCAGATTTCTCTAGATAAAACCCACAAAACGGACGGAGGGCGTCCTTTTTCCCTCCCAACAACTCACATGAAAGTGCACAAACTCCCTTTCCAAGACGAAAGTATAGTCTTTCTACAGGGGTCTGTGCACTTCCATGGGCAGTCGGTGGGAGGGTAGTTTTCCTGGAACGGGCATTCTGTACAAAGACGGGACCACATGATTAAACCCGACGTTGAAACACACAATTCTGCTCGGTTCTCTTCGACGGCCATAGTCTGGCCGTTTCAAAAAAGTCTTGCCCATGGCGAGCGACCCTGAGGCTAGAAGATAAGATCATCCCAATGAACGGTTTCACCAGGGAGTCCTCTAAATCGACTCACGAAACTGGCCCTTCTTGCCATTGCAAACAGCTCTAGACACCGCCCAATGTGCCCCTCTGGCAAACGGGCTTAGACTTTTTCGTCCGGGAAACAAGACGCAAAACATGGGCTTCCCCAAAAAGGAACTAAACAAGGAGACAGGCAAGCAAGCAAGCCAGCAAGCAAGCAAGCAGGCAAGCAGGCAGGCAGGCAGGCAAGCAGGCAAGCAGGCAAGCAAGCAAGCAAGGAAGGAAGGAAGCAGGCAGGCAGGCAGGCAGGCAAGCAGGCAAGCAGGCAAGCAGGCAAGCAAGCAAGCAAGGAAGGAAGGAAGCAGGCAGGCAGGCAGGCAGGCAAGCAGGCAAGCAGGCAAGCAAGCAAGCAAGGAAGGAAGGAAGCAGGCAGGCAGGCAGGCAGGCAAGCAGGCAAGCAGGCAAGCAGGCAAGCAAGCAAGCAAGGAAGGAAGGAAGCAGGCAGGCAGGCAGGCAGGCAAGCAGGCAAGCAGGCAAGCAAGCAAGCAAGGAAGGAAGGAAGCAGGCAGGCAGGCAGGCAGGCAAGCAGGCAAGCAGGCAAGCAGGCAAGCAAGCAAGCAAGGAAGGAAGGAAGCAGGCAGGCAGGCAGGCAGGCAAGCAGGCAAGCAGGCAAGCAAGCAAGCAAGGAAGGAAGGAAGCAGGCAGGCAGGCAGGCAGGAAGGCAGGCAGGCAGGCAAGCAGGCAAGCAGGCAAAAAAGCAATCAGGCAAGCAAGCAAGCAAGCAGGCAAGCAGGCAAGCAGGCAAGCAAACCAACCGGCAAACACACACACAACAAGCAGCTAACAGAGGACAAAATGGACTAGAACGGACACAATGAAACAAAGCAACATAATTCATGCGAGTGCTGTTCTTCTGTGCGATTTAAGCTAAAGGCCTGAGTTGATTCGATGATGTTGGGCCCAATTCTTGTTGAATCCACCCAGGGAAGCAGAGCCTTTTGCCAGGATTTGAACCTGCGAGCTCCCACTCGCAGCCTGGGCCTGCGAACAGCAGGCCCGGTTGCAACATCAGTACTGGACCGATACCAAGCGATGCGGCTCGCCACAGGCGAGCCAATACTTAAACAGTACTAGACCAGAAACGAGCGTTATAAAACCCACAAGCAAACCAATGCCAATATTACAGTAAACACAAAACAAGCTAGATCGCGTACTGCCTGAGATGATCATAGGCCACTGAATCATAGGATTGCTGTACGGGGAGCGATTCAATTGTCTAGCAAACAAGACTTGAGTAGGATTCCAAACTGCATGTATGGTACCGTGCTGGAAACACGTGGAAACCGGACAGCATCTTCCCAAAACGACCCCTGTTGGAAGACTACCATGCCTGCTAAGAAGGTGACGCCTACAATCACCAACACAGCATGTTCCGTGCACTTCTGCTGTTGTTCGCGCAGGCGATGATGGTAATTGATGTCAACATGGCCTTATGCACTTCCAAGACCCACAAATTGCGAAGTTACACGCGCCCATCACGAGCCAAACCTTTCAAATGTCCAAGCAGCAAATGGCGCGGACCACGTCCACCGGGTACATTACCTGGGTAGCACAGGTGTTATTTTGGTTGGCGGCTGCGTAGTGCTCTTTGCTACAACAGCAATTGTACATGCGCATCAATTCGCAACATGTATTTGAGACAACAGGACAGACTCAAGGAGCTGGAGCACGGAATCGAACCGACACAGGGCAAAGTGAGGTGGGTGTGACGACCTGTGAATGTCGACTGCACACCCCAAATAAAAAGACGCCTCGACTTCGTCCACTAGAAGCTATCGACGGACTGCCTGATTCATTTGAGGCACCGTAGACCTGACCGATTCACCGATGGTCTGGATGCTCAGTGCGCCCATCCCGATGAAAGCGTTTGTCAAAGTCAAGGCACCAGCAAAACACGGCATCTGTTGACCAATAGTGCATGGAACTGCCAACAGTGAAAGCCCAAACTTAGTTCCTGAATTCAGGGATCCCCAAATCTGGGACCTTCATCATTGACAATCTCAGTCCCCGTGTGAGCTGTCACCCAAATCAAACGGACCATGCAAAAAGCGCTCAACCAAAACACTGCCAAGTCATCTAGATGTTTCGTCAAAGGTCTCTCCTCCTACCTGCTTGCTCCAAGGGGGTAAGCTGTTCGGCATGTGGAACATCCGTCCGCTCATCCCGTCGACCGCACGTGCACGCTTGACGTCTTGGGATCCCGAGGATCCAGAGAAACCAGGGTCCATCGTCACTCGCCGAGGCGCGACGCTTGTGACCACTGCTCCGCCGCAAATCGGCGGCAGCGTGTCCAAAGGTCCGGCCTTCCTCTTGGGGGTCGACATCCTCGGTGAGTGGCAAGTGAGTCCCGTGCCGATCGGTACCCCTTCAAACCACACTGTGTTTCCGCCGGTATACCAAAACCATGGCCTGTCCCAAAGGTAACGAGAAGGTACATTCCAGAAGAGGTCCCCAGGTCAACTAGACGAAAAACTACGTGGCACAAACGTTAGATGTGTTGAACTGACTGAGCCCAAATGTTGCTAGCGGGTAAAAGACCGATGTTCTCCCAACAAGTTCCATAGATGTTGGGAGCTCACCAAGCAGCAGCTTGGCCAGTTGGTGGAAAACTAACTTATGACATAACACGGCCATCACTCATAGTTGGTAAAGAGGCTCCGTGCTGTCGGACATCTCAACCTTCGAATGTGGCCCAAATGCTTCAATAAACATGCGTCGGCCTTCTTGACGTCCAGCCCAAATTGCTGAGAGTTGCTAGCTGTCCGGTTGAAGGAACTGTCCGGCAGGGTCGCTACGGGGACGGTGAGCATGACGTTTCAAGGGCAGGTGGCTCGTCCTCAATTGAAAGGACGCAACCGTCTGGTGCCGCCGTTGTCATGATCCCCCTGTGAAAGCCGAAGCACCTACAATCACGTTTGAGAACAAGTACAGTGACAACAGCTGTAGAGTTGCTGTTACGCCAACCATGGCTGCTAAAACAACTGCCAACTACAGATTGGCCAATTGCCCGATCCAAAGACTACCTAGACTGAACCAAAAACAGGGGAACCAAAAAAGGAACTACATTTCCCCCTCTAGGTATTGGCCTTCATCCCTCCCCCTGCTCGCCAAGCGACGCTTCCAGGGCTCTTCTTCTCCGACGCAAGGGTTGAGGCTTGCGGCCAGCAGTTCGGACGGACGCACGGAGTTTGACTCATCATCGCAGATTCCAATCGCAGATTCCCTTAAAAACCGATGGGCCCATATCCCTGGTTCCTGCTTGGTTTCAGAATTGCTTGTTCATGTTGCGTGCGATGTTCGCTCCATTTGGGGTCCCAAACGTGTGGATGTCCATGCCCCAACATTTGCAGAAATCCCCCGAACAAAAAGAGGGCACCACGTAGAGGTCTGGGGATTCGCAGGTATCATCCGCGCATCTCGCCTGGGTGTCGTCGCATTTGTCCTCCAGCAAGGAGCCGCCTGTGTGCACCTGCGCTGTCGCACGCTGTCGCACGTTTCGCGTCGGCTCGCCGAGGGCCCAAGTTGTCTCTCTGGCAAAATGAGTTGGATCTCCCTTTCATGGGTCGCTCGAAGTTGACACCCCCTCGCAATCGCGGGCCCCCGATTTGAGGAGTTGCATGCCGGTGCTTCACTCAGCTGCTGTTGCATGAGTGACTGTTCGCTTTGCGGACTGGCTCAGTGCAGCCAAGTGCGCGTTTTCTTTTTGGCTCCGGCCCCAAAAGCAGCGATGCCCCTTTGTTGGCCCCAAAAGCTGGCCGCCAAGCAATTTTTGTCTTGGCTCAGGCCCCAATCAGTGGCTCAAACCCCAATGAGTGACTGGCAAATCTGAGATTTGAATCTACCTTCAGTGGCCTTCCCTCCTGATGAGTGAGAGCCTATTCAGCTCAGCCCGATGTGTCCCATTTTGAAGAGGGAGTCCTTAACTTTTGAGGGAACCACCAAAAACAACATATATCCAAGGCGATCCAAATCGCTGAAATTTGGTGAGCGTTTCCAGGTGCTATCTTGGAACCAAATGAATCGCGATGCCTGGATCCCCCACGAAGCGCGTCATCCAAAAAATGACATGCTCGAAACTGGCCTCATTTTTTTACCATGACCAGAATCACCCCCTATAGTTATAAGAGGTGGGTTAAAGGGAAACAAGCCCAGTTTCTGACTTTGATAATCCTAACCGCGAAAATAACGACCCCAGCGAAATCGAAGAAGATGAAAAGACAACTGGACTCTGCTGCGGGAACACTTCGTTGAGTTGCCAGGGCATACAAATAATTACGTCCCTCCGGCCAACACTGAAACATGCCGAAAGCGGATTAAGTAAACAGGAAGATACACTTCAGTCTTGGCCCGCCCTCCACATATTGATTTCTGGGCACCGCATGTCTTCGATTGCCTCATCTGCTGCCTTCTGGTGGGCAAGTTGTCAGTGTCCGCCGGCAAACAAAAAGGGACGAGGAACAAGAAAGGGTGTCCTTGTTTCGGCGAGATGCAATAACTCAAACCAATCATTCAAAACAAGGCCCTGCGAAGAAGTCTTCCTTGGGAGTAAGTTGTTTCCTCCGGTCGCTATCACACCCATGATCTTTTGTGTGTTTGCTCCAGCAAGCAAGAGGTTTTAAAGACAGAAGCTGGGCATCGCATTGCTATGTTGTGGAAGGGGGATCCCGATTTTGACGCGCACGCGCAGACAGACAGACAGACAGACAGACAGGCAGACGGACGGACAGACCGACAGACAGACAGAAAGACAGACAAACAGACAGACAGACAGACACAGAGACACACACACAGACACACACACAGACACACACACAGAGACACACACAGAGACACACACACAGAGACACACACAGAGACACACACAGAGACACACACAGAGACACACGCAGCGACACGCGCAGAGACACACGCAGAGAGACACACGCAGAGACACACACAGAGACACACAGACACACACAGACACACACAGACACACACAGAGACACACGCAGAGACACACGCAGAGACATACGCAGAGACACACGCAGAGACACACACAGAGACACACACAGAGACACACACAGAGACACACACAGAGACACACACAGAGACACACGCAGAGACACGCGCAGAGACACACGCAGAGACACACGCAGAGACACACGCAGAGACACACACAGAGACACAGAGACACACACAAACACACACAGACACACACAGGACACACAGAGACACACAGAGACACACAGAGACACACAGAGACACACACAGAGACACACAGAGACACACAGAGACACACACAGACACACACAGACACACACAGACACACACAGACACACACAGACACACACAGACACACACAGACACACACAGACACACACAGACACACACAGACACACACACACAGACACACACAGAGACACACACACACAGACACACACACAGACACACACAGACACACACAGACACACACACAGACACACACACACACAGACAGACACAGACAGACACAGACACACACAGAGACACACACACACAGACACACACACAGACACACACAGACACACAGACACACACAGACACACACAGACACACACACACACACAGACACAGACACACACAGACACAGACACACACAGACACAGACACAAACACACACACAGACACAGACACAGACACAGACACAGACACAGACACAGACACAGACACAGACACAGACACAGATACAGACACACACACACACACACACACGCGCGCGCACACACACACACGCGCGCACACACACACACACACGTCGGTTTGCATCGACAAAACACCAAGCCCAACCGTCAGTTCTGTTTGGTCGCTGTCAGAATTCTTAGTGCCCCCAACTGTCGCAGGAATTTGGTGAGTAACTAACCCTCGTTTCCTTATGAACGTGTGGGTGTGCCCCAGCTCAACCCTTTCACATGGTGCATGACCGCAAAGATTGATTGCTCGAGCGAACGACCCAATCCAAAAGTTGATCAAACTCCTTCCATGCAGAACTGCCCAAAGTCTCAGGCAAGTTTAAAGTTTCGCCAGAATTCGGCACTTGGGTGTGTGCGTGTGTTTTTGGGAACCCCCCTAAAAAACGGTGGAATTCCATCCCTTGAAAACCGCACAAACAGAGTGCCCACCAACAAAAAGACACGCCCATTTCTATCTGCCAACACGTCCCCGACGGAGCCGAGTAACTCAGGCCTCGCCCATGCCGCGATAGCCTGCAAGGTAAGGAGCCCACCTGAGCCGATTTTCAGCGAAACACTCATCAGTCGTCATTTGTTCAAGCCGTCGTTATACTGATCATGACACGCCGATGTTGCTGCTCCTTTACTTTATTACTACTTTGCTCCGCCCTGGTCCGTGAAGGTGTGCCGGTGGTGATGTTGAGGGTTCTGCCGTGGTGATGCTCGCGATATTGCTGCTCCTTCACTTTACTTGTCATGTAGGATTCAAAAGGCACGTTAGCCCTTGGTGGTGATGCCGGGGATGCGAAAGGACGACATGGTTGGCGCAATTCATCCCAGAGACCAGCGCAATGACATCTACCGAGTTTGGTAAAGGAAAATGCTTCCGCTGTTTGTTGTGTACTTACAGCGGTCATCACCCCCGGCCCCAGCATCACCAGTGTTTTAGCAAAAACAGAGGCGAAAAGACGACACTTGTTGCGAGTTTCGGCCCAGATACTGATGATACCCATAGTGTTCGGGCACAAAACCTACCAACAGGGAAGCCACATTTTACCATCTTGCAAGTGGTGTCCCCCAAGGGCTAGGCTTTCTAATTGCTTGGGAATCAAACTTTTGTCTACAAGTGCACATGGCCCTGTATGTTGATGTGCCTTCCTTAAAGACCACACTGAATATCCACCGGTGTTCGAAGGTTAATTTGAAGCGATGGATAATATGAGAAGGCGGGGCCAGGGCGTCCTTTGCGGGGAAATCAACCGCCTCTGGGTCACGAGATTCCAAACTCGTAAGAACCTGCATCGCTGGTTTTGTTTTGACTTCCCTTTCATTTCCCTTTGTTTTTTGTTGGGTTCGTTTTAGTTGCCTTTGGTTTCCCTTTGGTTTTCTTTGGTTTCGTGTGTTTTCTGTTTGGCTTCTCTATGGTTTGCTTTTGATTTCTCTTTGGTTTCCTCCTGGACTATATGGTAATGCCATGATCGAGCAGAAGCAGTGGGGGGTGGATGGTGTGAGAGAATTCCGGGGTCGGCGGAACAGGGCGGCAGCCCTTAGATCAAAAAACACCTCTTCTGTGGAAGCACCCTAAATCAACTTCAGGGCTCCAACCCCTCAACCCCTGGCTAGGCAAACAAGCTTGTACTCAAATTAGCTGAAGAAATAAGTGATATTAGCCGTAGTCCTATTGATTGTGTATACATTGCGTATGTAGAAATATATTTGTCATTGAAGGGCCTCCTTCAGACGCTCCCATGCACAATCCTCCGTCCTCGCAAGCTTGTCTTGATACATACCGACGCCAACTGCAAAGAACTTGGAAGAAACAGCAGGCTCCTTCTCGCGCATCATCCATGAGCCCCAATCCAAACTAGGCTGCTATTCTAACATGTGCAGATTTAGACCCGCTCCATGCAACCTGCCTCAAGATCTGAGCGACAAGAACCCAATCAAAACCTGGAGAAGCCCGGGCAACACCAAACCTCCCAATCGTCATGGGGCCGGGCTCCCTCTTGGTGTCTTTCGGAGCGCCTCAGCGGTTCCAGCGTCTTTTGCGCCGAGCTGAGGCGGTAAAGTGATGCTTCAGCACGGAATTCAACCCGTGACCAAAGTCAGGCCATCCAACCTGTTGAAACATGGCTATGAAACACCAAGAAATGCCCGTGTGCGTGATGTTCACCAAAGGATCTCCAGTGAAAGTTCATCCCCACATCCTTTCAAACATCCTCCCTTAGGTTTGCCCTACCGAGGGCCGAAGGTTCGTAAACGGTATAAATCGCGGAAGCTAAGCCAAATCTTGTGCCGCGTCCTATGAAGCTGGCAGCCATTTCTTGATAAGAAGCCAATGGACCTGGCTCTGCAGGCTGCCTCTACTAGATAGCGGCACAATGCCTGAAATCTGCTTGCAGCCTTCTTGCAACGCGGCGACTGGGGGAATGGGGAGACGCATCAGGCAACATTAACATCTTGGCAATCGT